TGTGAAATGAGAAGCAACAAGGTAATCTGGCTGTACAGCGAACCAGTCAAGAGCCTACTGCCTAACAAATATGCTAAAGAGACTGTTGAGTGACGTCACACGCCCGGTAGGCCATCACTCGAATGGAATCCTAGTAGGATACGACAAGTTGGGCGTATATCCGAGGTTGACATCAAAAAGAGATTATGTGAAGAGGAAATGAGAGCTTGTGAGCAGTTATGGAGCCAGCTTAGTTAGAAAGAATCAGACAACAGAGTGAAATGGCGATGTGCTACCGAAGCCCTTTGTTCCATTCGGATCAAAAAAATAATACAATAGTCTCATACTTCAAAGAAGCGTCCAACCTTTTTTCGAATGATTTGAATTAACGCATTGCTCTCTGCACTACAGGGAAACTCAAATGAATAATCCACCTATGCTTAGTCGGAATAAGTTTTCTGGTTGGTTGGTACTATTATTATCTTGGCTGGCTATATGTTGTGACTGACGAACAGTTTACGTGATGAGCTACTAAAATCAGACCTGCCAGCCGATAAACTTACATTTATAAAAACATTAGTTAGTCTTTTTATGTAGTTGAATCTCTCTCTCATTCTGTGTCATAATTCAAATTACCCACTATCATTATTCTATGTATCGGTTACGCAACAGCTTATCCAAATTACCATAACTGCTCCAGACATTACTTGGTGTCCTGTCTTTCCGGGTTGTTTTTGTTCTTTTTGTTTTACTGAATAAATTATACGACACATTTTTCGTTAGTAGTTTTATTATTATGCACTATAGAAACCCATGTATATAAAATTAGAGAAGTTGTTGTATATTGCTTAGTAGTTTATCACTAGTACTCACTCATTAAGCCTAACAGCTAAAATAAACAAACACTAATTTCGCTTTCTGCATACTTTTGTTTCCATGAGACTGTATCTGGCAATAGTGACTACAACTCATTACTTATGCAAAAAAAAAGAATCTATAATATCTACCAAGGTGGTTAACTTAAAAAAAATCGTTTCATTCGGTTTGGATATATACAAAAATATAAGATGTATGCGAAAATGTATAGGAGAAATATTTATTAGGTAAAGAGATGGATGACGAGTTTTATAACAAGCCAACAGTCAAAGATTTCATGAACTAGTGACATGTCTGGCATTGGTGGTTCAATGATAGGACGCTCACCAACCACGCCTCATATGGTCCGGGGTTCGATCCCCGGCCAACGCATTCCTAAATCTCGCCAGTAAGCCGGTAAGTAAGCCTGGTAAAGAGGGAAGGTTGAGCGTGAAGCTAGCTAGCAACCCCACCCTATAAAAAGACGTGACCACTGCTACTGAAACTTCAATCTTGAAGCCCTATGTTCCGCTTGGAACGCAAAGAAATAAAATAAAACAATAAATAAATAAAGGTGCCATCCATGTCTTAGTCAGACGACAACTAACTCCTCTTTTACAACCTAGTCAAATAGTCACAATTTTTGCAACAGTAACCTGTATTTGGTAGCGATGAATCGCATGTCAAGCGTACTTAGATTATTGCTTAAATTCTCTTGAAGGACTGTGTTGTATTGATGTTTTCACCTAAAAAAGACATTCTTATGTGTGTAATGTATCTCAATGAGATGTTTCGCTACTAATAAGTTAATTCCTGAAACATCAAAGTGAACAATGGTCACATGCAATAGAGTGTGTGCGAGGAAATTAAATGCGAATGGTGATATTGCTCATCCCTGACGGATTTCACTAGTCTTCTGCTTGTTCTCATCTAGCGACTAGAGTTCTAACAGTTTTAATACCGCTTTCTTCCTACGTCTCTTCAACTGTGGGCGTGGGCATTCACGTGTTTAGTCGGAATCCACTCAGGTGTTCTAAAAGGAAGAAATATCATTTCGACTCATAAAAGAAACAGTATTTTTCATCTGTTTTAATCTAGTAAAGCTTTACAATTAAACTCCACTCAAATCGGACTTCACCTGAATTTATCTAAAATGGTTGTAAGTCTTATGTTTATTTGAATGATAAGTGGAATTAGATTTATAGTAAAGTTTCCTGTGTTCATACTTATTATTTGTCAGTGAATATAATGTCGGTAGGCTGCAGAGTCGACTGTGTTGTTCTCTACTGTGATGAACATAGAACCTATTTCTCACTTAATCGAATGACGTTAACTGACCACAACGGTGAGATTTTTTTATTCTTTGAAACTTGAAGTCTTCAAGTCGCAGAAGTATCATGATATCTTCTTTACTATCAGATAGTAAATTAAGCGACGTTTTCGGAGTGTATCACTCGGAAATTGAACCTTGGACCACGTACGTGGTTGATGAAAATTCTACCACTGAGTGATCAATGCACAACAACGGGGGGGGGATGGTCGTAGTGAAATTATGCCTCTCGGCATATTACACTGCATTATTTTGGAATCACTTCATTGAATTATTATTATTTCCTTTAATTCCTGGAGGAACATAGGGCTTCAGCCGCGCGTCTCTATTGCGCTCGGTTCTCTACTAGAGTTTTCACCTGGCTCCAAGTCTGCCCACATGCTTTCATCTCCTCTTCACATGATCTCCTCCAAGTTACCCTTGGACGACCAACTTGCCGCTTCCCTTTCAGGTTCCACTAGTCTAGTGATGTCACTTGATGGTTTCCTCAGAGTATGGCCAGCATCCATCTCTATTTCTTCCTGCCTATTTGGTTTACAATTGCTTCCTGGTTGGTTTGCTCCCACAGGTCCCTATTGCTGATCTTTTTTGGCCATCTTTTCTTGAGTATTAACCGAAGACAGCTGTTGATGAAGGTCTGTAGTTTGTTTGAGGTGCTGTTTATGACGGGCCAAGTCTCTGATCCTTATAGTAGCACTGACTTCCCATTGGAGTTGAAAATCAGCATCTTATTTTCATTTTCATGCTGAGTGCTGTTGATTTATCTCCACACAGACTTGAGAGTAATAAAAGCTTATCTTGCTTTCCCGATCCTTGCTTTGATATCCTCGTCAGTTCCGCCTGTAGTTGAAACGGTGCTTCCCAGGTAGGTAGAGGAGGTTGTTTCTTACAGGTTCCTCCCATTTATGCTGATTGTTGTTGTTGCCCAGGAATCTTCATCACCTCTGTTTTCTCTATGTTCACCTGAAGGCCTGTCTTTGATGCTTCTTCTGCCAACTTGTTGCTTTTCACTTGCATATCTTCCAGTTTGTGGGAAATCAGACATACATCATCGGTGAAGTCCAGATCCTCCAAGGTTTTTGTGTGAGTCCATTTTATGCCTGTTTCCTCGCTGCCCGCTGTCTGTCGCATTATCCAATCTACTGCAATCAGGAAAATGATTGGCGATAGTAGGCAGCCTTGTCTTACTTCCGTCTTCACTTCGAAGGATTCCATAAGTTTCCCGTTGTGGATTACTTGGCATGCAGCATTGTCGTACAGCTGTTGGATGAGATGTATAATTGTCGATGGCACCCCGTAGTAGCGAAGTAGTTGCCAAATCACCTCTCGATCGACGCTGTTGAAGGCCTTTTCAAAGTCAATGAAGTTGAGCGAGGTGGAGAGATGACTGCCATTCCAAGGTTTGTTCAATGATGATCCGTAGTGTTGCGATTTGATCATTGAATAGCCTAGTCAAATAAGTTATAGTTGGCGTTGACGGTTGGGAAATCATTCGAATTATTATTTTTATTGATTGATAAATATATTTGTAAGCTTACGGTATACGCTTATTTTCAATTTTTCTGTGAACAGTTGAAGAAAAGCGTTGATTTTCTCTGCTCATTTAATCTAATAAACTAACCCTATTAGAGGTAATTTATAATAAATTGATGGAATTACATAATCTTATTAACTTAAGGTTTATCGGTTGGAATGAATTTAGATAGATATACATATACTCAATCAAATTATTGCTAAACAGTGAATTGTCTATTCATCACTTCTACTCTAAATCACATCATCAAACAACGTTCAACAATTAAGTAATGCCACGGTATATGTGACATTCATTCCTCACTGTTGTCTTTTTTGTCATCTAATCATCCATGTTGGATTGCCTAATTTACTTTATTTTCTATTTCAATATGGCGAAAATATTCATTCAGACATCTATAAAACACAAAATAATTGAGCAAAGAATATCCTTTTCGATAAATTCCTCTTCTGGCTCTACAATTATATATATATATATATATATATATATATATAATATTCTAGATTAGTAGTCAATAACAATATTAGTGTTTTTTAAATAATATCGATTTGTAAAGTAAGTAATTTCACCTCTTCCATGTGTATCTACGAATTTAACTGCTCCTGTGGAGCCAGTTACATAGGCCGCACAATTAGGCGTGTTTCTCGTCGAATTTCCGAACATCACCCTGCCTGGTTAAGCAAAAGACAAACATAATCTATTCGCAGCGCTATTCTATCTCATCTTGTGGTTACAGAACACAGGACTGATGTCAACGAGCCTTTCAAAGTCATTTACCGCATACCAATAAATCTTAACTTCGCCATAAGAGTTCGATTACTAAATACTGCTGAGGCTGTTGGGATCCATATTAAGAAGCCTAATTTATGCGTCCAAAAGAAGCTAGTTCAGACATTGACCTTACCTTGGCCATCTATGTTTGAATGATCCTCAATTTTTGTGGAAATTTCGTTAATTTTAGTTGATATTCTATTTGCCATTATATCTTTATTATTATTATAATTTAAGCATCTTTAATGAACTGTAATTCCACTGATCATACTTTACAAATCGATATTATTTAAAAACACTAATATTGTTATTGACTACTAATCTAGAATATTCTATGTATATAAACATATATATATATATAATTGTAGAGCCAGAAGAGGAATTTATCGAAAAGGATATTCTTTGCTCAATGATTTTGTATTTTCTATTTGTTGAATATACTTATCTTGTATATTTTGTGTTAAGTCATTTCTTTATTTTATTCTGTTTCTTTGTTCTTACCCCTCCCCCTCCGACAAAACAAACGTATAGTTTGGGAAAATACAGTGTATGGGAAGGCAATCCATATTGTGAACCACACTATCTGGTCTTATTCAAATCATTTGGTAAGTTGGTGTTTCTTTTCAAAGACTATAATGTTTACGTTAAAAATTTAATCTCTAGTCACACTGAATGACTTTTATCTTATTTAGATCAGCATCAAGTATCAAGGCGATATACACGTATCATCTTGTTAAAACACTTTTTTCCTTCAGAAATTGTATCTTCAGTCCATATCCGTGTAGAGATGAGGCTGGGTGGTGGCTCAAGCAACTTGACTTCCAGCCAGTGTGTTTCGTGTTCGAATCCCATTCCATCTATCTTAATTTATTTATTTTTTTATCATAGCTTGATTCCACACAGTACTTTTGCTACAAGTATGGAATTTTCAGCATGTGATATCGGTAGCCCAAATTTTGCAGACCGACCAATTGATGATATCAGGTGTGCGTCGGTAGGGGATCGAACCCCGGACTATTTGCATGGTCGGCAAGAGTCCTAACCGCTGTGCCACCGACCAACTGGCTAGTGTCATCAGCCTTCATACAATAAGTGTGTGGCTCATATAGACCCACACGTAAAAAAATACGTGACTGAAACAATCAAATCCTTATTAGCATAGTAGAAGATATATAGTATACATTCTAATTGTGGTGAGAGCTGGCTGCTAGCCAAAGTTGGTAGACAGTAATTGACGTCAATGTTTATGTCCCCAATATTGATGGTGAGAGAATGAGAACAAAGGCTTTGCGTAGGCGGATACAGTTAGCATATGGATGATCTGACACAGACACAAAGAGATGCAAGGTTAACTTTCTATGAGAAACAACCAATCAAAAGACTGCATTTTCTACTAACAATAATCTACAATGATGTAAATTAAAATCTATAAATATGTGTTGATTTTCCTTAATAAACGATCTGTTGCCTGGCCCTTGTCCTCTGTTGTTACGTAATGTCTTACTTGCAGTAGTAATGCTGTGAATGCACACAGTAAATTTCCAGTCGTTCCTGCTTTTTGTTGATTATTGTTCCAATTTGATTAGAATTCATTCTGCTCAAACACCAATACACTACAATTCTGTGATAATGTTTAAATAATTAAGACTAGGAGGAATATCAAGAGTCAATTAAAATCTGTTTGTGATTACAGTTTAGAAGAGTAAATTTTAACAAATTACCACTATAATCTTGATTGATTATTGTCTATTTCAATGCAGATTCCTCCATGAACCTATATTACTCAGAGGGTCATTAAAAGTCATATAGAGTACTTGACAGATGTTTGTTACAGTTTTTGAACTATTCAGCAGTGTGCAAGAACGACTGATCATAGCCGCTATCGATTGAAGGACATGTGTACTGTTCAGCAGTTCTCTCCGTCCTCCTTTATGGCCATAAGACATGACCAGTGAAAGTGGAAGACATGATGAAAAGGCTAGCTGTCTTTGATCATAGGTTTCCACCTTCTATCTCCAGTGTTAGGTGGTATAATAGGGTGAGTAATATTGGGGTTAGTCGTAGAGTATTAGGTAAGGAAGGAAAGTGAATCGATGAGGTTGTGAATCTACATCGATTGAGATGGCTAGAACATGTGTTACGGATGCCTAGCCATCTCTTTCTTTGATGAGCAATATCAACTAACATAAGATGAGGTTGGAAAAGGGCTAGTGGTGGTCAAACCAAAAATGAAATCTTTGACAGTTAGTCTGAGCCACGTAAGTAGGTGTAGACTGTTTGGCTGCGGTCCTCGGGATTTTAAGGACTAATAGCTGGAGATGTGCGTCGGTGGCACAGCAGTTAGGACGCTCGCCGACCATGCACATGGTCCGGAGTTCGATTCCCGGCCGACGCACCCTTTTACTTCGCTGAGCCAGAAATAAAGCTGATAAAGAGGAAAGGTTGGGAATGAGGCTAGCAACCCCATCCTGTAAAAATAAACACCGCTACAGAAAATTCAAGCCTCTAGCTTGAAGCCCTATGTTCCACTGGGAACGTAAAGGAATAAAAAAAATAGCTGGAGATGATTGGTGATATGCCTCGAAATCGTTCTGAATGGCTGGCGCAGATGCATTCACTGTTTGTGATTTGCCATATCCGTTGAACCTTATTGTTTTTCCATGTTACTATTCTTACCCCCTCACATGTGTGCTCACTGTCGTTCCTTTGAATCTCTTTTGTCCTCCTTCGTGTACTACATGGAGCTTGGCAAGCTCTATTTTGAAACCAGTCAGTCACAGCCAGTAGGGTTTACCATGTCGAATGTAAAGTGGATGTTCATCAATGGCACTAGTTTGTGACGGTACCATATCCCAGTTTGATGGAAGTTTAAACTCTCGGATTACACATAGCACTAAAATCCAGTGACTTCAATAATGGCCAACGGGTTCGTCCCGTAATCTGTCTTCGAGCTCTGGTAGATTTGTCGTTGATATGTGATCTGTGAAAGAGTCCTAAAACTAGGACGAAACAACTGTTCAAATACGCCTTAACTTTCAATGGTTTTCACATATTAATTAACACACTCAATCTATAACTATGAATTGTCCCTTATTCTTATTGACAACCCGTCAAAACGTTAACAGTTCAGATTGTGATAACCACTAAGAATGCTAAGCTTTGAGTATGTTTATAAGTGCATTATCAAATATTTCTGTATTCATTCATACAATCAACATATAATTTACTTTACAAATTATATTTCTTCTCTAAAATCATAATTTTCATGATGTAAATTAGTCTTCTCTTACCAATTGGACTTGATTTGCATTCATTAATAACGCAATTGTATGACGTTGATAAGAGTGTTGACATTTAAACAAGCCAAGGCGCAAAGCCACAGTTATTATCATTATTATCAACATTATATTTATCAGTATTATTATTATATCACCTGACCAACAGTGTGCTGTTCTGTTACTTTTAAAATAAAAATGTAAGAATTGAGCCCTACTCAGCTGTTCAAAAAATACTTTTACATTTTATCATATAATTAATTAACATGTTGAGAAGGGAATACTTTGTTGATAATTAGTGCATTTATGAATTAACCGTCATGATAAGTAAAGCTGACCGATAGTAGTAGTAGTAGTAGTACAGCAAATATTAATGAGTGATTTGTCCTCATAGGTATAACGATATGTTGTTGTAACGTGTAGTTGTTTCATCATGAATGAACATACACACATGGTTGCATGTCACTCAAAAATGATAGCTGTAGACCCTAGATTATGTATACAACCAAGGCTTGATCGCAGATAAGTAGAGGCATTATCTGGAGCTGTAAATAACTGGTTAATCTCTTTGATTTTCGACTCCAGGAAGTCATAGGTGTGAACACTGCTCCACCTATCAATGAGTGTTGGGTAATACTGTCAGCCTCTTGTATAAGAAATAGGTATGGCTCATTGCCAAATTGAATATGAATGTGATTGGTTGTTGCTGTTGTTGTTGAGTTGTGCGTTTCAGTTTCACGCTCTACTCTTATTTTTTTATCACTATTATGTAATATGTCTTTATTTTAGTTTACGGTTCTTAAAATTATTTTCATTTCTTATCATATATATATATATATATTACTAAGTGTGAAGTTTCTTAGTCTAGACTGTTACATAGTTCAATCCTATTTCGGTATTGTCTGTCTGGCTATCTCTCCGACTCTGCATTGTTTTATATGCATAAATTAAACCTCGTTCCAGTAGTGAATCAAGAATTCCTGCAAAATATACGCAACATTCTTTAGATTTGTGATTAAACAACAGTTCAATCTATAGTCAAAGACTGCATACTTCAATAAAGAGAAATAATAGCAAAGTGTAGACAGAGTTTGGGTCGAATTCATGTGTTAAGAGATTCCACTTTTAAGTCCCTCTGAAGTACACAACCAATGAATAGTCTACCCCGTATGTTGTAACGAACTGTGTGTATGTGTTCATGTTATATTCATCAGTCAGAAAAGTATACCGATGATGTCTATGGTGTCCCAGATAGTCGAACTGACAACAGTGATTGTTATTTACAGTTCTGTTCAGGTGTTTGATTGCGGGGATTTGATTGGCCATATGTTTGATCATGAACTGAAATCAGTTAGAGAACCGCTGGAAACCAGAGAGCACTAAACAGCCAGCTGCTTCGTCCTACCATGAGACTCTTCAGCTTTACACACCCTTCGGGGTTCGAACCCACGGTCTTCTGGTTACAATGAGAGCATATAGACCATTCAGCCACTTGAACTCAATTTAATGGCCCATGGATTCCAACTTCTACTGATTCGCGACATATATATCGCCAACCATCAGCCAAAGTTATCGGCGGATAACTGTCCTCTTACTTGACTTGAAGCGCCTCACTGGTCATGACTTCTCAATGCAACTGCAGGTAACTTCTTGTATAAAGCCAGTTGTTAGTAAGCATCAGATTAATTGTCGAGTGTCGGTTTGCAAGGATTTGATTGGTCACTGATTTGATTACAAGCTGACATCAGAAAATCACTTGTTTCTAGGCAGTACATTTTTTTGTCAAACTCAAGGAGAGATATTGCCAGATCAGAAATCCTTACAATCCTCAATATTCTCCCGCACATTTCCGTTAATTAATAGTTTCTTCCTATTTCTGTTATTTCCTGGTCTTTATTTATTCTTTTATGTGAAGCTGGGCGGGCAACTTGAACTACTGCACTTTAATGTAAAGTTCTACGTGGAAAGTTTAGTTCAGACTAGTTTGAATAATACGTCAATATTTTCAAGTCATTATATACAGCTAATTATAAATTACACTCTCTGAATTCCTTTTTTGTTTTACAGGACACTATGATGGCACTGCACCAAAGACTTCAAGTACAACATATGATACACCATCTCATAGTGAGTATTTTTTTCATTTATGTATTATACTCATTTAATATTTACATTTTGTGAATGAAGCTTATTCATGATGAGGAGGAAGAAAACTTTTCGATGCGAAACGTTTTGTTTACCTGTTTAGTGGAACTAGTCATCTTAATACTCAGTGGGATGGGTGTGTATGTGTGTGTATTTTGTTGTCCCCACCTTGTCTGCACTGTTTTATCTCAAGTGAATGTTCAAATGATTTGTAGCTCTGTTTTTGAATTTCTGAGAAACTTTTTAATTGCATTCCAGGAAAAAGTGTAATTTTCTAATTAATAGACAGAAGACAAGTAGTTCAACGAAGAGTCTCTTTTCGGCGAATCCATTTTCATAGCTGTACTATCGCAAATATATATGGTTGTTTTGTATGTGTGTGTACATTAAATTTGTCAAACGAAAATACAATTAGTAAGTTCAGATGAATTGGATGTTGATATATGAGGGTAGTAACAAAAGTGATAAGTTATCACAAACGATTGTTAAAGAAGAGTTACGTAATAATGTGAATAGTTTGATGAAAGAGTTGTTCTCAGGGTGTACATGGAAACAAAATATACGGAATTGCACAAGGGTTTTAAGTAGAAAAATAAGCATACAAACAAAAGTTAAGTCAAATCAAACAAACAAACAAAAGTTAAGTCAAATCAACAGAGTTGTTACCATGAGAGTAGAAGTGGTTGAATAATTTTCTTTTGTATGCACAGTTCTGGTTCCTCCAGCTGAATGGCTAGGGCTTCTGCGATGCAAAGAAGACGGAATCGTACTGTCTTTGGAAGGTTGTTCTTCACTTTGTAGATTACTTTGAAGGAGGCGTTTGTTGAGATGGAATGACCAGTGTTGACGAGGTGTTCGATTATTGCACTCCTTATGCAGCCATTACTTCCTTTCTGCAGCCATGCTGGATAGTGTTCTTTGACCCTTTTTGACAGGATGCGCGTTGAACGACCGATGTACCTGGCTCCACAGCAACAGGTGAACTGATATATACACATAGAAGTGGTCAGGTGCGGGATCTTGTCCTTTGGGCTTCTGCAGATCAGCGGGCGACTAGAGAACACTACTCTCAATGTTGCCGCAAGGAAATTTCTTCTTAAAGAGGTGGAGATTCTCCTTCTAAGGACGTCACTGAGTAGGTCTCCTTTGAAATCGAGGTTCATATAAAGTATCTACCCCCTTATATCAACATCCAATTCATCTGAACTTGCTAATTGTATTTTCGTTTGACAAATTTAATGTACACACACATACAAAACAACCATATATATTTATTGCGATAGTACAGCTATGAAAATGGATTCGCCGAAAAGAGACTCTTCGTCGAACTACTTGTCTTCTGTCTATTAATGTTCGAATGGGAATTTTTCATGAATTTTCTGATTTACAAATGATGCTTAATTTAACTAACTTACTGGAATAAACATTAGCCATACGCCATGAGTAGCGAGAGTGTCAGCTAAAGAGGGCAAGTCGATCAATAAGGCTGTGAAATTATATCGACTGAAATGGCTAGAATATATGTTAAGAATACCGGGAAATATCAGCTGAGAGGATTAGGCTTGAAAAGAATTAGGAATAGTCAGATCAAAATATGTTATCAATCTATGAAGTCTTTGATTTTTGGTTTGAGCTAGGTAGGGAGGTGTAGACTGCCTGCCTGGAGTCCTCGAAACGCAAAGAACCAATGGTGCAGGTGCATTGGTTCTGTCTCCAAAATCCATTAAGTGCTCATGTTTTTCCATGTGACTATTCCTTCTGCCATACGTTTCTGTGCGTTATAGTTCTGTTTCCAATTTGTTTTTGTTTTTTTCATTTTTCCTACCTTTGTGTTCTATCTGGAGTTTTGCAACGTGAAATGCTGCACTTCAAAGCAAAGTTCTCTGTTGAAAACTCAGTCAGTCAGTCAGTCACTGAATGAATTGTGTGTAGGCCTAATACTTTATTCTCATTAGTCACTCTACTAGGAGAAGGAGAATGATGTGTTAAGTATTTATTTTAATTACTTCAAAGCAGAAGATGACGTGTCCCAAGTGGGATGATTTCACTGATATCCATGACTGACAAAATAATGTGTCAAATAATTCTTCTGATAAATATTCACTAGCTAGTCAGTAAAGTTTGTTAACCGAGTCGGAAGAATATAAACATTTCTTGCACACAGTGTTAACTGGTCTTAATAACGTGTTATGCTGTTATGCTCATAGTTGTTCATACAAGTGAACAGATCACTTTGTAGGTTGTTTCATTAGCTCTTCATGCAGCATGTCATTTGCTTCTTCAGCTGTTGTTTTCATTGTGGTGGGTTTATTTTCTTTAAAATCACATTGCAAAACTGTCTCGATATCTTTCGACCATTACACTCCGTGACATATCTGAACATTATAATTCAGTATAGTCTACTGCAGCTTAACAGGCCAAGTGATAGGATCCCAGACTTCAGCATAAAGTGGAACATACTGACATAATACAACTTGCTTTCCGCGGATTGTGCCGAGCAGTGGAATCCAAGATGCGTATTTCGTCTTGTTTAGGACTCGTCATCTGGATTTACCTGCAGTTCTCAGTGAGTGGCTGTGACCTCACTGGAACTCGAACCCAATACTCATCGTTTCAAGAGCTAAAGCCTTGTCGACTAGATCACTTGGACTGCAAGGGCCACTTCTTCTGCACTGGGTATCATCGAAGAACCTGAACAAATGACTTCCTTTCCTCTACCCTGCATATACACTTCCCTACAAATAATCAATAACATATTAATTCTCCTTTCTCCTGATTTGTTAGCTTCTGTTTATCTACCCTGATCTATATTCCTTGCCCCTACCTCATCTCACACACATAAATCATTCGTTTACCTATTCCTTATTTGTAAGAAGTCTAGAGTTATCCTTCTGTGTTAATCAAGATATTGACTGAGAAATAGATGAGTAGGTTAGGTGAGATTTACTCTATTTTTACCAATGAAATTGTTTATTGTTAACTTTAGCTGTTCAGTTGACCTATTTTTATGTGAAAATTTGAAATAAAAAAGGACAATACACGTCATTTTGCCGTTTTATACCCATGTTTAATATAATAAAACTCCTACCCTTTGGAGGATAAGAATAGGTATTGTCTAAGTTTCCTAAAGCTTAAAACACGCATGTACACACCCACGCAAAAAACCATTTAGAATCGATGTTATTCGTCTAGGTCACCAATTCACACTAACCAATCAGATGGACAGTCATATTTTTTAACTAATAAAGTAAGCTATGACTCAGATATCGGGTATTGTGAGTATGATAGGAACGAATGAGGCTGATCTTTTGGATGAATGTATGTTTCCCAGAATATAGTTAGGATATTTTGTGATATTTGATTAGTACTTTTATAGCTTTATTCTTTATGATTGTGTAATAGTTTATAACGTCCAAAGTAGTCTTGATATTTGATACTAATGAGTTTATTCTTAGGCAAAAGAAACTAAATTCCTCTGTATACCGGTTGAATGATCTGACATCAGAGTGATAAATCTTACAGATTATCATGAACATTATTGAACTAGTCATTATATTAATTGGTTATATGTTTTTACTAGACTAAAATTCACCAATAAGTCAAGCTTTCTTTGTTCATTAGCTTAACAGATGACGTGCATTTGTGATACACATTAACCTACTTCACCTCCCATCCACACTTTCCTTATAATGACTACAAAATATCGTCAAACACCTACTAATCATGGATATTAACAGTAGACGATTTGTCACTATTATTATTATTAATATTATTATTATTCCCTTGGGTTCTAAATACATTTCCATTTCATCATATTCACTTCAGTCCTCTTTATCTCGCTCCACAATTTCCCATGAACCATCATCTCCACATCAACTTTAGACACCCAACCCATCATTTCCCATTCGCGTTCCACTTGAGGGCGCCCGCATATTGCACGATGATACTCAACGGTCTCTTCAACGTATATCTAATTCATCGTCATTCCCCTTGTTGCCAGTCCTTTCTGGCTGGTCATCTGATCTTCAGTATGAAGTAAAGGTGGCTGTTGATAAAGTCTCCAATAGACGTCTGGAAATGCTTTCGGTGACGCAGGCACCAAGTCTATGAACAGTATGAGAAGCATTGACTTAACACTAGTGTCATAAATTCTAATCTTGTTCTTTATGCTGAGTACAGTAGATTTCCACACAGATTTCAGATTAATTAAGGTCTGTGTTTGCTTGTCTAATCTTGGCTTGCTTTGACATCTTCATGCGTGCTACAATCTGTAGTTGAAATGATGCTTGCCTAGATAAGCAGAGGAAGTATATTTCATTCCCTTACTTAGATATAATAGAGAAGATTTGTAGCTCAGGTGGATGATTTTGGTGTGGTTGTGTTCTCTGAGCTGGATGGTTTGGTTGCGAAGCTTTCATTGCTCTACTGAGCAACATCTTCAGCGCATACTTCGATGTGAAGTGAGCTTTTAGAATTCTCTATGAGTTTATTGGTCATCTCTTCTAGTAACCTTGAACGTGATTGGTTGTTTTTGTGTGACTTCTCACTTTCTAGTTCACTTGTTTTGGTGTTGACTGTTTCCTTGACCTGAAGTTTGACTTTGT